AGGAACGCTGCGAGAGACTTGCCACAATGGAGATGGATGCCGACCCAGAGGAGCGTGTCTGGGAAACACCTCCAAAACCAGCGAGAACTCAGAGAGGTGCAAGGTGTAGCATAGTTAGCATATCCCGTCGTCATCGTGGCATCTGAGTCTTCATCTGCCTTCGCTCGAGGTGGGCAATTTCACCCTGCAAGGCGCCCTGCCCGCGCTCCCGGTAGTACGCGGTCGACTATTCTACGCGAGGGCCGACCATGCATCACGTGTTGACCCCTCGAAAAGGTCAGACCCGGGTCAGACCCCAAGTCAGACCCCGGGGTCAAGCCGAGAGGGTCAAGGGGTCGAGTCTTGACCCGCACACCTCTGGCGGGGCCCACTGCGCAGTCAAAGTTTACGGCTTCCAGTCCCCGCCCTGAAACCTCGATGCAGAGCTGAGACGTAGAAGCATGGAAGAAACGCGGAGGTGGGTGCGGAACCCTCACGAGCCGAAGCGCGGCGAACAGAACAACACTAACCCATAGACCATTGTTCGTCGCGGTCGCAGCGCGCTGGTCGATCTGGCTCAAGAAAGTCCAAGTCCTGCCTCCGTCCGTAGACACGCACGCGGTGAGCCTGTAGTACGTGTACGCGCTGCCGGACATGTCGTGGTTCCTGAACGCCGCGACGACGTTCCCGTTCGGCAGCTGCAGCAGGAACCCGTTGTCGAGATCCCCGGGGCTCGTCGCGATCGTGCCCCACGCGCCGAACGTGCTCCCGCCGTCGGTCGAGCGCGCGACGGTGAGCGTCTTGTTCCCGCCCGAGCTCGCGGTGTACACCGCGAGGAGGGAGCCGTCGGAGAGCGAGGTGACGCGCGGGTACGCGCCGCCGTTGGGCGAGAGGACGATGTTAGCGCTGGGGACGTGCGGGACGAGGCCTGCGCGGCGTTCGAGCGTGCGTGCGTTGTGCGTGGTCGGCGTTTCGGCCCAGTTGACTTCGTGTCCGAAGTTGACCTCGCGTCTATAAACGAGCCCGCCGGAGTAATCTGAAGAGGGCGCAGCGGAGACGAGGGTAAAGAGCGCGCTGCTCGCAGTGAGTAGCGCGAAGAGGATGCTGCGAGCCATTGTTAGCAAGGAGGGCGTTCAGGAGCTGCTGATGGAGTTGATGTATGTTCAAACGGAGTTGAGAGGACGATCGAGAGGTAGGGGTAAGCAGTGCAGCAGAGGTAGCGGGGAGTGGTCGTCAGAGGATCCATCCGCGAGACCTTGCGGGCTCAGCTTTTTATGCGAAAGGACCTCCGCTGAAGCACAGAGTGCATCGCCGCATAGCGCAGTGTCACGTTTGCGGGAGCACGAGCCGCTCGCTAAGCGAGGCGGTCAGTGAACGCAAACCACCCCCGCTCAATCGGACATACCTAGACTCCACGAAGGCGAACAGAACATCACCTTTTGGCTCACGAAACGCTCGTTTGATGGTGCGAAGGGGGTGAACTGCGTAATGGGGGGGACCCTCGACATAGTGAGAATCCTCCCATCTCCAAGCGGTGCTCGATTCGAAACAACTTCTGTAGCGCTGCTAGCCATCTGAACATCTCGGTTGGAGATTGTCCTCAGCGTGGATAGACTAGGTCGGCCTTGTGCGTCCCATCAGGAAGGATGGTCAAGTGCTCTGCGTCCGCAAGTTTGCCCATCACCTGATCGCCCACGGGGCTCGAGCAGCATGAACAGTCGTCCCAACCGTTGGCTCCCATCGATGTGTAGTCCTGACCTAACATGTCACAGACGAGGTGGTGAGCGAGAATAGACCAAAATACTCGAACTAAGCCAACGGCAAGCGCACGTACATTCGGACCGATTGGCAATACGGTGGCTGTGGCCGTGCAGTCGATCCACCGTGCGAAACCAAGCGCTCGTAACGATGATGAGACACTCCTACTTGGCGAAAACTTTGTAAGTAAGTTGGTGGCGGCTTGTGTTGCGATTTCTACGGAGCTCTCCACGAAGGGAGCGGCGAAGGGTACACATCCAAAGCAGGTTCGTTATGTGGCGATCGGTTGAAGCTACTACAATAGTACGCATTCCGAAGTCAGAAGATATGCTGTTGCGTAGATGGTTTTCACAAGGTTCGATGTATCTGAAACACACCACAATTGGCTTGAGTGACCCGCAGGTGGATGAACCATCGTTTCCTGCGACAAATGATGTGATTCAACACAAGGTCCAAAGCTTCACGTACTACGCACCATCGCTCATTGCTCAGCGAGGACACCACGGGGGTGACTTGTTCTCACTTACTAGCCTTCAAGTCTAGAGCGCGGTGAGGACGAGGTAACTGCCATGCTGCGGATGCAGCGCCGAAGTACCATATCATAGATGACGCAGTTGCCGCTGGTATGCGCCACCTGTCCTCCAAACATAGCCTCTACTCAGTCGGACAGGCGCCACGATGTCTGTCTCATAAACTCGATGCACCTCAGATATATATGCCGGCAGGGCTTCCGGATCAAGTGACGATATACTTACACAACCTTCCACGGAGGAAGGAATTAACAGGGACTCTTCTTGAGCGTAGCACCAGCACCGGTACGATGCATTTGGACGAGCTAATGCCGAAACGAAATGTCCAAAATAAGTGAGCTGCTGGAAGATGAAGCTACTAGAACATGACGTACTTTTGACCCCCGACCGTTGAGTTTAATCCCAGGTACCGCAGCCGCAATCCCGCCACTGGAAAAGTTGCGGCATGTAAAAGCGCCAAAAGTTGCCACGAATAACCTCGTCAGTGGAACGTACGAGAAAACACAGACGGCCGGTGCACTAGGGGCCGAGAAATCGTTGTGCACGACTATACTTAGCGGGATGGGCGTCGCACGCAACGTGCACTGTGATGGGGCCGATGTGGGAGAGCGGCGAGTCACCGGGAATAGCTTCTTGGATGGCCGAGGACGGCACGGGGTGAGATCGTATGTCGAACCGGCTGCGAACGGGTCTGACAACATGCGGCAACAAGATGGGACCATATTTGTCAGATTCTGGGGGATGGTGAATGGACGGAGGAGCAGCATGCGCAGAGTTTTGAGAGAAGAGACGGCGTGGACGAGAATAGCCGACTGCGGTTCATAACGGAGGTTTTCGAGCGTGGTGTACTTGCGGCAGACAACAGTTGAACGGGATGCCGGGCGAGAACGACGAACGACGAACGATGAAGCTCTCTCCATGCAGGGAAGGAGAACAAACAGTGTTCACAAGAAGGGTGCAGCCCGCCACTCACGATCGGCCGGAGAAGGCGGGCCTCTCACGGCTGACGTCGCATCGAGATGCCGAGGAGGATGAACACCGGAGGGCTTGCCTTTAGTGCCGGGGGATGGTGATTGGCTAGCATGCGAGAGACCGCCAAGAGTATGGCGGGATCACAAGAACAATGCTGGCCAATACAAACCCGGGATCATGATCAGTCGTCGCCACCTTGCTCTGCACTAGGTGCACGCTCTCGTACTGCCAGCAACAGTAAATACTGGCCGAGCAGGAGTAATGAGGCTGCTGGAAGACAGAACAGAGTCGAATGAAGGCAAGTGCAGAAGGACGGGCCGATGGAGGAGATGTTGGGACAGGATATGTAGGCCGGGCACGCGGCAGGAAGACCGAGCCGAGCGGCCGGCATGACAGCAGCACCGGAATGGGCCAGTGGCTGCTCCCAGCTGTCGGCTGTCCAAGTCCTCCTCCGCTGCTTCTTCTCTCTCCCCATTCCTGCACGAGCCGCGCTCGCTGCATCGCCCCGTTCCCTCTGCTCCAGCCTGTACGACACTCACGATATCATCTCTGTCGTAATACTCGCTATCCGACGCGTCTCGAGAAGCCAGATACCAGTTCTTCGCGCGCCTGACCCTCGCTTCGTGAGTCGCGTTCCAAACTAAACACTCGCGGCGTCCTATCCCCATCATCGGCTAGCATACTGACTTATTGCTCCTCCCCCCATCACTCCTCTCTCCGCTGTTGCATACCGTCTCATCTCTCTCTTTACATCTCCACTCCTTTCACTCCCGCCACTCCTTCAACCTCGCTTCCTTATGTCCTCTGCAGTGCGGACAGACGGGATGTCTCAGACACCATATCAGCCCGTGTTCACCAACACCAACCCCTACGCAGCCCAGGGCGAGCCACGCGATACCCAATTCTACACCCCGGAGACCGAGCACCTCCAGCTTCATGACGACAACCTTCCCGTCGGCGCTGCTCCCCCCCGTTTCATGGGCCAGGCCTCCCGTGAGAACCGCTCGTCCTTTGCGTCCTCCAATCCTACCCTCGCTGGAGAGGACTATAATTCTTCGTCTTATGCCCTGAACGACGGCGGCAAGCCCGGCTTCTACGGCCTCAGCTACAACGACTCGGACCTCAACGCGTCGCGGCCGAAGGAGGCCTATGGCTCCCCCTACGCCGACCAGGGGCGGTCCTATGCTCCTTCCAAGGGGTCATCGTCGCGCAAGAAGGCGATCATCATCGGCTCGGTTGTCGCACTTCTCGTCATCGCAGGCGCCGTCATCGCCGTCTACTTCACTGTCATCAAGCCAAAGTCCGACAAGGACGGCACGGCCAGCGGCGCCGCGACAAATGGCACCGGCAACTCGACAGGCTCGTCCGGCAACGGCAACAGCAATGCGCTCGCCGTCCAGACTGGCAGTGACGGCAGCACGGTCACCATGGAAAACGGTACGACCTTCACGTACAAGAACTCGTTCGGCGGGTTCTGGTACGTCGATCCCGCGAACCCATTGTCTGGCAGCGGTCGTGCTCAGTCGTGGACCCCGCTGCTGAACGAGACCTTCAAGTTCGGCGAGGACCCGATCAGGGGGTGAGTGGTCATTTGACGGGTGCAATGATACATTGGCTGATCTGTGACGTCTAGTGTCAACGTTGGTGGATGGCTTGTCACTGAACCGGTACGTGTATTTGTAATGATCCACAACGACTTCTGTTTCTCACCTTGTGTGTCGATGCTTATAGTTCATGTGAGTGCATGTATTTGCGAAATCCGGACGTCTCGGATGACATCGACTGCAGTGTCCCCGCGCTCTATGAGCAGTACGTAAACACTTCAAACCCGGCTTTCGATGAGTGGGATCTGTCACAGCGCATGGCTGCTGATACCGCGAACGGAGGTATATCGCAGCTCGAGAATCACTACAAGACTTTCATTGTGGGTTGTGTCTGGCTGACCGTACAATGCATCTGCTTATCCATTTTTGCAGACTGAGAAGGACTTCGCTGACATCGCCGCGGCCGGTCTCAACTTCGTTCGTATCCCCATCCCCTACTGGGCTATCGAGACGCGCGAAAATGAGCCCTTCTTGGCCAAGACTTCATGGACGTGCGTATATGCGTGTCGTTATATCATATGTTACCTCACTAAAGTACGTGCTATATTTTAGGTACTTCTTGAAGGCCGTCGGCTGGGCGCGCAAGTACGGTCTCCGCATCAACCTCGACTTGCACGCGCTGCCGGGCTCTCAGAACGGCTGGAACCACTCCGGACGTCTCGGCACCATCAATGTGCTCTACGGTCCCATGGGTATCAATAACGCTGAGCGGTCGCTTGACTACATTCGCATCATCGCCGAGTTCATCTCGCAGCCCGAGTACAAGGACGTTATCGTCATGTTCGGTATCACTAACGAGCCCTTTGGCCCCACAATCGGCAAGGACGCTGTCTCCAGGTATTACGTCCAGGCATACAACACCGTCCGTACTGCGTCCGGCACCGGCGAGGGCAACGGCCCTTGGATCGTCATGCACGATGCCTTCCTCGGTCTGACCAACTGGGCAGGCTTCCTCCCCAACGCCGACCGCATGCAGCTCGACATCCACCAGTACCTCTGCTTCAATGGTCAGTCCGCAGACGACTACTCTGTCCGTGTCGGGAATGGCCAGCCGTGCACGGCCTGGGCGAAGGGCCAGAACGACTCGATGACCGCGTTTGGTATGACGCACGTTGGCGAGTGGAGTATGGCCATCAACGACTGCGGCCAGTGGGTCAACGGCGTGAACCTCGGCGCTCGCTACGATGGCTCGTTCACTGGGGGGGGCAACTTCCCTGTCACGGGCGACTGCTCGGTCTACAACGACTACTGGAACTACGACGACGCCTGGAAGGCGTCCATGCAGCAGTTTGCGCTGCAGTCCATGTCTGCCCTTCAGGTATGTGCCTTTGGGCCGCTGTTTGGGCGCATCAACTGACGTCAGAGCTGTGGAATGTAGAACTGGTTCTTCTGGACTTGGAAGATCGGTACCTCGACTGTCACTGGCAACGTCACTTCCCCCGCTTGGTCCTACTCCCTTGGTCTTGAGCAAGGCTGGATGCCTACCGACCCCCGTGTCTCCGAGGGTGTCTGCGAAAACACCGACCCCTTCAACCCCCCTCTCCAGCCATGGCAGACCGGTGGCGCAGGAGCCGGCCAGGTCCCGCAGACCGTCCTCGACTCGTTCGCGTGGCCCCCGCAGTCGCTCACCAACGAGGCCAACCTCGCGACGCTCCCGACGTACACCCAGACGGGCTCGCTCGTCACGCTCCCCGGGCCCACGTTCACCTCCGTCTCGGGCGTGACGGTCTCGACCGGGAACGGCTGGAACCAGCCGACGGACACGGCGCAGATGTTCGTCCCCGTCGCGACGTGCGGCTACCTCGACCCCTGGATGGGCCCCACCGCGAGCCCGGCGGCGTGCCCGCCGCTCAACCAGCGTCGCGAGGCGAGCCCGGCGGCGTTCCCGGCCCCGACCACCCCGCCATCGCCCTCGCGCTTCGCATGAGGCGAGGACGCTGGGTTATCGGAGCGATGGTTCGGATAGTCTACGCTAGTGCTGCTACCGCTGCTGTTCTCACCAATCTCTCACACGCGAACTGGACTCCCGGGCGCGGCGCACCCCTCAGTCTGGGAGGATTGCCGCGTCGTACATCGCCCTCCTTACCACGCATCCCACACTTCTTTCGCTCGGGCGCGGGTTGTGGCGCACAGCGTGCGCCCCCTCGCGGAAGTAGTACTTGTGATCATTACACGGATAGTTGCTCGGTGTCGCTGCTGCTGCTGCCGACGGACCTTCACGGACTCGTTCTACGCTGCTTGTTGTTGATAGTACAGGCTATTATACGGCACTGCTCTCGCTATCTTATTGACTACCGTAGTGCGCGCAATTGACGGACAGATTTTTTCGGCTTGGGACGGTGTCTGCTTGCGCGATTGTGGGCAAGGACCAGCGGGGACAGATGCGGATGTAGGTTGGGAAATAAGCATGTGCGTGGATTTCAGGACTCGGCATGGATTTCCAGCGATGATATGATCGGAGCAGGGGTGGTGATACAAACTAATCCTTTAACGTCGGCCGGTCGGCATCAGTGCTCCCCGAGCGTGGTGGCATAGCGGTCCTCAAGATCCTCCTGGCCGCCGAAGCCGCCCTCGAAGTCCTTGTCGAGCTCCGACTTGGCAGGCTGCTTGCTCGCGAGCTCGTCGCGGATGGCCTTGAGCTGCTCCGCTTCCTACGTTCGCAGTGAAGGTCAGCACCGTCTAGCTGCAATATAGTGGAGATGGAGGGTAGTACGTACCTTCGCGCGGGCGTATTGGTCCTCGGCGGCCTGCTCCCTCGTCTTCCAGGTTCCGTCCTGCAGCCGAGATGTGGATTAAGTGCGTGCCATTGCGAGTTGAGGACCTCGTAGAATTACCTGTGCTGTTTGTCCGGACGACATGGTATCGTAGAGATGATGAGAGCGAACGTGAAGAGGCGTCAGCGCGTTCGGTGGACGCGGCGCTGGAGAGGGTGGTGGTGGCTTAGCAGGCCGAGGGCATACGTCATCGACATCCAGATATGGACAGACACTCAGGCGTCCGCCCGGGATGCTCAGCAGTTGCACATGAATTGTCATACCATAGGAGATGTATGTACAGTACATGGATGAGGTATGAACGGGGCATGAACGAGGTATGGGTGTGTATGATGATACCCACCGTAGCATAGGGATGGCTGGAAGATGTGTCTAGATGATACATGACGTCTATAGTTCGGATTGCATGATTATACGATTACTGGTGCGGAAAGTTCCCATTCGGAGGGTTCTGCGGTTGCTGCTGCTGGTGATGCATATGCGCATACTGTTGCTGCGACCGTTGTTGCTGCTGGGCACAAAAGATCAGCTTTTCTCCTATACTGACACGACTATTCACCCACTTGGGCAATCAAGGCCTGGATCTGCTCTGCGGTGAGCCTGTTGCTTTGCATGTAGTAATGCAAGCCCTGGACTTGCAGCAGTGGGTTCACTTGCATACCCTGTACAGGTTGTCCAGGCACCGAGGGTGGCCGAGGAACGTTGGCGTTCGCTGGACTAGCAGCAGGCAGCGGCGGCGAACGGTGTGGGGCGCCCGGTGACGAGCTCGTCGCCCGAGCAGCGAATGACGGGGACAAGTGGGCGGCACTGAGCGCAGGAGCGGCTGCAGTTAGCGCAGCTGAGGCGTTCGAGTGCGGCACTTGCCCTGCCGCCTGTACCTGACCTTGACCGGAAGCTGGCGCTGGAGCAGGGGCCTGCCCTGCCATGACCCTAATCTGCCCTGCATGGGCCAGATGCGGCGGCGACATCCGGGCATTCGCGTTAGCCAGGGCAGCGATACGCTGCTGTTGCGATATGCCGACCTGGGAGCTGCGAATCGGCTGCACTTGCGCAATGCCGTTCTGGGGCCGCGGAATACCGTTCGGGGTGGCACCTGGCGGCAACATCTGCCCTTGAGGCGTCTGAGGTTGTTGCTGGGCAGATGCACGATGTATAAGCGACATTCTCGAGGGTTTCTTGGGTCATCTTACCGCATTCGGGGGCAACGTCTGCGTCTGCGTGCGTGCTTGTTCCCGTAGAAGGTGCTGTCGAGCAAGTTCGTCATTTCTACGTCGCACAAGGGACTCTTGAGCAACAATGCTCGCCTCCTTCTCTGTCTTCATCCGACTGAGCTCAGCAGGCGTTGTCACGGACGTTGGACAGACGCCCCTTTTTGCCGCCCATTCCCTTTCCTTTGACGCCCACCTTCCATTTCCGGACCGTTTCCTTTCCTAGCTCATCCCAGTTTGGACACTGTAGATACGTTCCCGTGATCGCCATGCCCTTGCCTTTTCTTTCTCGCCCTTTGTTCCCCCTTTGTCATCTTCACTGCCTCGCCTCTCGCGCCTTGT